AGGTCTGGGCTCAGCGATAGGAAGTGGCAATGAAAGATTTGGGGAACATGGCTAGGAGAGAGAGAGATGGGCCTGAGTGTGTGTGTGAGTGTGTGTGTGAGTGTGTGTGTGTGTGTGTAAATGTGATCAGATACAGCACAGGTCTGCAGACCAATCCCTGAAACCATTTGTGATGTTTTGTTCATAATTGCATCAGGTCTGCTGAAAGCGCAGATTTTTTTTTTCTTTTTCGCTTTCCTTTCAGTAGATAACAGAATTCTTTAAAGACTAAATGGAGACAATTTTGAGCATCTTTGGCAAAATTTCCTTAAATGAATTCTTGTCAGACCTTTTTAAAGATTGTAATTGTGTGGTAAAATTAAGTTAAATGGGTTTAACACTCCTGGCAAAATTATCTTAAATGAATTCTTGTCAGAGCTCTTTAAAGATTATAAATAATTGTGTGGTAAAAATTAAACTTCACAGGTTTAACATTCTTCTTTAGTTTCATAGGCTTCTATGTGAGCCTGTTGGCCAACAGATTTGGAAGGCAAGTCTTGAGATGGGATCCGGTACCCAAACACTCATGTTTTGAGTTCTGATTCCCGCTCCTGCTGTGTCGCATCATTTTGAGCAATTGCTGAGTGCCTGTTGCCTCTGAGTTTCTGTTACTTCACCTTCTGAAGACAATGTTAATTTGCTGCCGCTTTCACTCAAAAATACATAGTGTCTTCATTAAATAATGTGTTATCATAATAAGCAGAAGATGAAGGGTATGTAAAGCGGAAATAATACTGTCCAGTTGCCAGGCAGCAGTCATTCTGGCTGTGAGGTCTTCTCCAGGGGACAAGTGACTGTGTCTTCCGCAAGCCTGGAGGCACCAGTCCAGACCAGCTTCAGGCCAGTGGGCCCACTGCCTCCCACCTTGGCACAAGTAACTAATACCCGTGTCCTCCAGTTTTATGTGCTGGGATTCCTGACATGCCCATTTGAAAGTTCTCTCATATGTGGTGAGATGTTCCATTTTTCTCTTCACTAAAGCGTGAACTTGTTTTTCTGGAGAACATATGGACAGTATAGAAAAGCGTGATACGTTTCTGCAGTTGACATTTTAGCATATAGACATCCAACCTTTTTTTGGTTCATGTATTTATTTATTTTCTTAATATCATACAGTACCTACAGTTGTATAAGTTTATTTTACACAACTGCACATCATAATGAAAAGTAAGCTATACCAGTTTTCCATGTTATCAAGTTTTTTGTATACATAATTCCTAATGAATTCATGGTTTTCCACAGTATAGATAGATCATAATTTAATAAATCAGAGGGTGTGGGAAAAAAATCTGTAGTCAGACAGCTAAAGCCATCCCTTTAAGGTTATTCTAACACATAAAAACCTTCCACCAAGCTCTTTGACACACACAAATCCTCGAAGGAATGATTTTTTTGTGTGAAATGGTTATAGCTGTCAATCACTTATTCTCTGTGTCATGGTTTCTGTGCTCTTTTCAGGTTGTTAGGGGGTGATTATGGATTCCTGTCAAATGAGATGTCTGCTATGTATTCAACATGAGGCAGTTTGTATTTTTCTCAGTCTATTGCTCTTCTGTCTGAGGAGGTTAAGCAAATCTCAGTGAGCCAGAGGGAAATGGGATAGGCATCAAGCCCTGGCAGCACACGGCAAACATGCCCAGGCCCCAAGATCCCCACTCAAGGAGATTAGACTTCTTACATAAACACATTTGTCTTGATTGTCACATTCCACCTAGGGCTATACCTAATATGCATAAAAATAGCTCCAAGCCTGGTTTTCAAAGCCATTTGCCCCCCACCCCCCCGTTGCTTTTTCACTACCCAGCTCAGAGGCATTTTTTGTGTTACACCTATCACAGATGATTAAGGGGCTCGAAGAGTTGATATATAAGGGCAGATTAAGAAAACTAAATATTTACAACCTGACTGAGTGACAGCCAAGGGAAATACTATAAATGACTTCTGGGCTCGAATCACGGAGGAGACATTGTTTTGCTTTTCCTAGTAAGTGGATTTTAGAGCTATCCAAATTCAGAGAAAGCTTCCCTGGGATGACATCTCATATGCTAATTAGATAAATGAGTCAGCTAGAAATTGCATTTAGCAGCTACTAACAGAAACTTGAAATAGCAGTGGCTTAAACAAGTAGGGTTTCACTTTTCTCTGCTATGACATGAAGCTCAAAAGCATTTTTATTGTCTGGGACTGCACTGGTGCCCCATGAGGGCATCAGTGCGCCATTGCCCCACTGTCTTTGGGCTCCATTATGCAGCACTGGCTTCCATACTCTAGGTCACCTGATGTTTGAGAAGAGCTGCTTCAGCCCCAGTTGCCATGGCTTCATTCCAGAAAGAGAGAAGGCAAAAGAGGTCTCTGCTAACTAAGATTGCTTAAGAGAGCTTCCTTGAAGCCCCTCTACTGATTTCAGTTTACATCTCACTGGCCACCGCATCTGCAAGAAGGGCAGGAAAATTTACTGGGGTTTTTTGTTTTGTTTCACCTTAAGTTGGGCACATTGCTGACCCCAACAACATCAGGGTACTTTTACCAAGAACACATGGGATAATGGATACTTGGTAGGCAGCTAATGGCTTCTGTCACAATAATTAACATCTTGAAAATTCTGATGAAAGTCGGGACTGTAAGACGCTGTGGTTGGTATTTGTAAAACTCGCCCTTGATATGTAACATATTTCCTCCTGCTCACTCTCATCTACTTAAATTCATTCATCATCCCACTAAATAAACTAGCCATCTCAACAGACCTGAGAATAATAATAACAACAGTAGTTTTTACCAGGTAAAAACTGTTTGCACTGTGTTATGCACATAAAAGCATCACCTGAATGGTTTGCTTTAAAATTTTCTAAAGTGGTGATGGGGAGGCGTAAATAAGGATAAATGGAATAAGACTTCCATGAGTTGCTAATAGTTGAAGCTGGAAGACAGTTACATGGGGAGTTGTTATACTCTTCTTTCTACTTTTATAATTATTGAAATTTTCCCAATGAAAAGCTTTAAAAGTCACATTTAATCCTCACATTCCTTCATATCAGGTCAGTTCTTTTACCCCTGGATAAGAATGCTTGGAGTTAAGGAGTGTCACACAATAAGCAAGTGGCAATCAATATTCAAACCTGGGTTTATCTCGCTTTGAAGTCTGTGTCCCACCCTTGCCACTGAAGGAAAACACTTTTCAGACAAGCAGCCTGGGCATCACCTGGAAATCAGTTAGAAATGCAGAATTCAGGGCCCCACCCCAAGACCTTTTCCACACCCCTTAGATCAGATTGGTGCACACCCACATTCCATGTACTGGGTTCACTGCCCTTCATTGCCTCAACATCAACTGTGGCGTTTCCTTTAGAAAAGATAACCCTCGGCTAAAATAAGGAGGCTAGTCGTGACTCACTATAAACATTTTAGATAACCATTTGATTCACAGCAGTTGTTTCTTTCAACATTGGGCATCTGCTGTAGTGCTGGGCGCTAAACGCCTGTGGGTCAATTAAGCATCTTTCTGACTAGGTGTCAACCATTTTTATTAATCACTGCATGCTCGAAACTTAATTTGACTTGTTCTAGTTAAATTAAGCCCTTGCTTCTTCTCACTTAAGGTGTGTTAGATTTTAAAAGCCTTGGGTCTTACAGAAAACTCTCCAGGTGCCTATTTCAACCTCCTCCAGCATCAGCTTTGCTTACCCACCTGTGTGTAACTTTCTTGATTTTTTCCCCTAACATTCTCAGTCTTTTTTTTTTTTTTTTTTTTTTTTTTTGGAGACAGAGTCTCATGCTCTGTTGGTCAGGCTGAAGTGCAGTGGCACGATCTCAGCTCACTGCAACCTCTGCCTCCCGGGTTCAAGCAATTCTCCTGCCTCAGCCTCCCGAGTAGCTGGGACTACAGGTGCACGCCGGCACACCTGGCTAATTTTTTGCATTTTAGTGGAGATGGGGTTTCACTGTTGTTGCCCAGGCTGGTCTCGAACTCCTGAGCTCTGGTAATCCGCCTGCCCTGGCCTCCCAAAGTGCTAGGATTACAGACATGAGCCACTGTGCCCAGCCCTCAGTCATCTTTTCTAATTTTAGCCCTTTTCATTTTTAAAAGGAAAGAGAGCTGTGGAAATTAGGCAGCCTGAGTCCCAGCTTTGCCACTCATGTGTCATGTAGGCAGAACAGTTAACTGTCGGAGCCTCCAGTTCTTCATCTCCGCAGTGGCTGAGCTCTGTGATCTCAGGCCCCTTCCAGCTTCATCCTTTGTAACCCCTATAACTTGATTTTTCAACCCCTCCCTGACCCTGCAAAACGTTTTGAAGACATCGGGCTCTGCTTGCAACCCACTCGATTATATTTTTCCAGGCAGTAAAAGGATCCCAGCATTGATTTTTTTTTTAATTGGTTTCTCTTTCCAAATGCTAAATGCCTTAATACTTATACTTTATGTGTGTTGGATCCTTTTTAGAACAACTTAGTAAATGAATAAATGAAGCCTGTCATCCATCTCAGTTGTAACCTACTCTTTTAAAGAGGCTGGGTCTTTGCTTTTGAATATTATTCAATATTTTCTAGGTGTCAGATTAACTTGGTGGTTTTATTTTCACTACAATAAACTTTAAACCATGTACATATTTAACACCCTAAGCTGTTTGCCAACTTCTATAGCATGAGAAGAGACAAGGAAAACACCTACAGGAGAGCAGTATAGACGCCATCCCCAGGAACCATCACCCCAGGCCCATGCTCGTCCCTGTTGAAGGCACAATCATTGGAGTCACTTACTTCTTCTTCTAAGAACTTTTTCCCCTACCAGAATCATGTTAAGCCGGCATGTGATAGTTGTCTCACAAAGTGAAACCTAGGGAAAAGAGCACGCTGTAAAATAGTGATCATGTCAGTCCTTGTGCTAGGTGTGCCTAAAACAGTGTTGCCCGGTCCTACCTTTCCCATGCTGTGTATATGAAGTGTGTTTCCAATTTGCTTTTCAGGGCAGCTTTTGGCAAGGAGTCTGAAGTTCTTATTGGAAACCTGGGTGATAAATTAATCCCTCCACAAGACATCCTTCGAGACGTCAGTGACCTCAAAGCCTTGGCCAACATGCATGAAAGCCTGGAATGGTTGGCAAGTCGAACAAAGTCAGCTTTCTCCAATCTTTCTACATCCCAGAGTAAGTATCTAGTAGGAAGCTGTTGTGGGGACAGTTGAGGAACTAGACTGAATGCGTTCATTGAAAGATGAGAGTATACACTGGTCCCCATGTCGGGGCGCATCTCAAGTTGTCAGAAGATCCTGGTTAGAATTCTGCTTGTGTTGCACCTCTCGTACTTTGTGATAATGGGAAAGGAACTAATCTTGGTTTCCCTGTGTGGAATGTGGGAAGCCAAGAAAGGCCCATGTTAACACAGCTTGATATTAACATAGCCTTAGAAACATCAGTTCATCTAGGATTGAGCCACTATGTCTCAAGAACAGAAAGCAATACCTTTTTTCCTCCTTACAGCAACTTCTCAAGGGCAGAAACTGTCTCAGAGCTCAGGGCTGTGTGCACGGCTGACATTCTCATTTTACTTGGCGTAAAGCTAATTTTTTTATTGGAGTCATAGAAGTGATTAAGGTGCTAGAAAATAGAGTCAATGAAGACAACAATTATTCTGGAAAAAAAGATGGCTAAGAGATAGCAATTACAGATTTCAAGGAAATTAAGGAACAGAACATGAAATTAGGGGGAACCTCTTTTTCTGTCAAGGACCAATGACTTAGAGAAAAATGATTTGAAAAAAATGATTTGAAAACTTTAGGGCACATAAACTTTAATAGCTATACAATTGTACTTAAAGCATTACTTCAGGAGTATGTATAACACAATTAAAATAGAGACAAAGAAAACATGACATGAAGAAGGCATAAAGGAAAAGGCAGATTTATTATTTATTTATTGAGACAGTCTCACTCTGTTGCCCAGGCTGGAGTGCAGTGGCACAATCTCAGCTCACAGCAACATCTGCCTTCTGGGTTCAAGCGATTCTCATGCTTCAGCTTCCTGAGTAGCTGGGATTACAAGTGTGCACCACCACACCTGGCTTTGTGTTTTTAGTAGAGATGGGGTTTCGCCATGTCGGCCAGGCTGGTCTCAAACTCCTGGGCTCAAGCGATCCACCTGCCTTGGCCTCCCAAAGTGCTGGGATTATGTAATCCCACCACATCCAGCCCAAAAGGCAGATTTAGATGCATGAATGGAGAGATAGAAACAGGATAGAAAAAGCAAAAAAACAACAGGAAGGAGAAGGAAGCAAAATCACCTCTGAATTTAATATTCGGGCTATTAGACAATGATTAGAAAGAAAACATTATTTGCACTGTGCACAGCAGAGTGAGTTTTTTTTTAATCACCGTCATTTGAGAAGGTATTATTACTTGATTAGCCTTGTTTCCAGCCTAGAGATAGAAAGGTGTGGATTAAATTCACAGGGTGAATTATTCCCTTATCCTCTCAGAGTCTAAGGAGCCCCTTAAGTGCTCACTGCTTGTATGGCCTCATGCTGATTCTCTGCCTATCCCAAGAGCCAATGCAGGGTGGGAAGAAGGCACTGAATCTGTGGGCTTTGGAGGGAGATCATAGAATCTGCACTAGAAATCTTCTTAAAATATTACTGTATATTTATACTTTTATTCTTATGTCTTTTATTGAAAATACTACTTATTTTTGAGTCAGTCTTGCTGTATTACCCAGGCTAGTGTTGAACTTCTGGCCTTAGGTGATCCTCCCATCTCAGCCTCCCAAGTAGCTGGGACTACAAGCATGCATCACCATGCCCAACTCTAAAAGACTGCTTTTTATCTGATGACAAAATTATACAAGTTTATTCTCAGAAATCTATAAGAATAGAAAATGTGTCTAGCAATTAAGGATAGTTTGGGCACACTATTACTTTTGACCAGATTCTACATACGGATGTATCCTTAAAGGCCCCTTTAAGTTTATAATCCCATAGTATCAGGCAGTTCTATTACAAGCAGCAGTTTAAATTATCCATTTTATCTGCCAAACCCACTCTGCTCCCTTCTCCCCTCTAGAAAAAGTCAGAAAGAACTAATTTTTCTTTGCTAGTTGCAAAATGAACAGCTCTAAAAAAAAGGGGCCACTTGCCTCTTTTCCTGGTTTTCTTTGACTTGGAAATACAGAGCTGCTTAGGTAGTTTATTTAGTAGTGTTTGGAAGGAGTGCTGTCATTTAGTATGTCATTAGCATCTAATATTTAATGCTACAATCTCTTGTTTCTAATGACACAGCATTCTAGATTTCTATTCTGCCCATTCTAAAAGGGCTTCACAAAGCAAGATAGTATATAACCTCTGTAGCAAGCCACTGAGTGATTCACACAGGCTAACCTGGCATCAACTGTTTTCAAAAGGAGAAAGATGCATTCTGAGTTATGCTTAACTTTGTAATTGCACAATTTAGCTGTTGTGTTCATGTCACTGAAAGTACCCCGTAAAGTTGATGTCTAATTCGTGCCTATAATCATCTCTGTTATTCTGACAAAGATCTCATCTACCACGCCTGTTAATCCTTTGCCTTATGTTCTCAGTTCCATTTTATAACATAAGTTGTACCCTCTCAGTTCCTTCCAAGGTGATTATTCCACCCAGTGAGTGATTTAAGTAACTGTCAGCATTTTGAGGATCAGTGCAAAACCCAAGTGAACTATAATCACTACTTATGGTGTATTTGCTAAAACAAAGCATCAAGCAAGCCTGGTTTATCCTGCTAACAGCAAGCCTGGCTCACCCCCCCTTACGTGCTCTTTGAATTCCCAGGAGAGATGCCCATTGATGTTTATAATTTGAACAAAACGGGGGATTCTCTGATAATGGCTTACTTTGATTGCCCTATGTCAGTGTGACTCTAGAAAGGGAACAAGGGGACAGCTTTTTATTTTTTATTTTTTTGAAAAGTGAACCAAATGATTACTGCAACAAAAGTGTTTCCAAGTCTGGAGACTAGAGAACTTGAGGAAAATGCTCAGCAGGATGGGAAGAAATCAAGATAAGAAGATGTTCGGTTTATTTCTTGTTCCACATTCTGTTAACTATTTGGTATGGTAAAGGCCATGTTTTATTAAGCTTAAGAAGCTATTACTGTGATAGGGTGGAAAAAGTTTGCAGAAAATTATTTTCTTTCTTTTTTTTTGAGACGGATTCATGCAGTGGTGCGATCTCCACTCACTGCAAGCTCTGCCTCCCGGGTTCAAGCGATTCTCCTGCCTCAGCCTCCCGAGTAGCTGGGATTACAGGCGTGTGCCACCACACCCAGCTAATTTTTTGTATTTTTAATAGAGGCGGGGTTTCACTATGTTAGCCAGGCTGGTCTCGAACTCCTGACCTCGTGATCCGCCAACCTCAGCCTCCCAAAGTGCTGGGATTACAGGCATGAGCCACCGCCCCTGGCCAAAAATTATTTTCATAGTAGAGTATCTCTTCAGATAGGACAGTAGGATTCTCATCCATCTGAACATTTCATGTCAGGTATTACATTTTGAAGAAAGTAGAGAAAAAAAATTCCACATTTTAATGGCGGAGCATGGCTGGCTATACATTGTTCAGCAGGTTAAAACCGATTATTTTTTTTCTAAGGTAATATTTTCATTTCTTTTCGTATTTGCCTAAATGTTTCTCTAACTCCTTTAGACATAAAAGGGTCTCCTGGTTGTATCTAACTCCTGACCACACCAAAGGTACAACTCTTGTATTTGCCCTACCACACAGTCCACAGTTCCCTGTTCCATCTTCTCTGGTATTCTCCCCTCAGTCTTTCCAACACTGGTTCTACTTAAGATTCTTTCAGTTGAAAGTCACAGACTTAACTGAAGGAAAAAGAATGCATTGACTCATACAACTGGTAAATCAAAGGACTTTAAGAGTGGCTGGATCCAGAGGTTCTCCAAATATTGTCAGGTCCCAGGCATGCTTATACACCTGCTCTCTCTCTCTCTCTCTTTTTCCCCCACAACCCACCCCAGTCTCAGCCTCCCATCCCTACCCCTAGAAGACCCTTACATTCAGGACCTGCTTTAACAGATGTGCTTTCAGTGCAAGGAAGGTGAGCAGGAGCACATTTAGCTTTCAGCATTCAGGATGTAAGTTTCTACTTATTTTCCTGCATCAATCACAATTTCTACCTTGTAATAAAGGCACAAATAATGCTGGCTTTTTGTAATGCCTGCTGTTTGTAAGATCCCTAAATAAAGACTCCGAAATTGTTATCATTAAGAAAATTCTCAGAACAAAATATGACCTACATAAAAATTGTTAGACTATTTTTCAGTTTAACATTAGTGATTTTCTTTTGCATCTTATCCTTTTGTTTTAAAGATAGATTGTTTTTAAAAATAGACTACACAGAATTTGAAGGAGGCTCAAGGGCTTATTTTGTCTCCATGGCTTCCTTAGGGAGGCCCTTCTCTCTATCTTGAATTCTGTAAAAATCTCTGGGATTAGAGATTCTACAACCTCCTTGATTATATATTCTGCTCCTTACCAGCTAGGAAGTCATTTTTTTTTTTTTTTAAGTGAAACCCCTGTGCTTCAGTCTAAACCTCATTCTTCTTTTATACTCTCTTCAGAAATTAAATAATGACTATTAACGACTATTTTCTCTATAAAATATTGTAATGCTTCCAAAAACATTTCCGTGGCCTTGTACTTCCCTATCACTGGATTTTAAAGATTTTTGGGCCTGTGACAATTCCAGTCTGTGAGTCAAGGACACCCAAATCTAGTAGGATCAGGAACCCCGATCAGGCGCAAGTTCAGTCTCTTGGACGATGATTTGGCTGTTGGCTTTTGTGAATGTGGGGCTTAGGGTAGGATCTTTGACACCAGGCTTACCCCCTCCAGCTCTCTGAGTTCCCGTTGCCGAAGTTCTTGCTAAGCCCACATACATGAATAATAAGAGTAAGAAAAACCATGCCCTAGTCGTTTTCAGTCTGAGCAACCACAAAGTTAAACATTCTTCTAATTTTTCGGGCAAATAAATCTCATAATTTTGGTTGCCAGAATTGGTTTGTGAATTGCAGTATTAGTTATACAATTATTTTTATACTTCTTTCTTAAAAGTAAATTATTGTTAGGCATCTTACAAATCATCTAGTCTAACTCAGTCATTTTG